ACTCCATCCAATCTGCGACCCAATTTTTAGAGAAAATCAAAGGCATTGAAATAGACAGCCAAGAAATAATGGTATCCTTCGACGTCACGGCATTATATACTTCGATTGGACTAAAACTAGCAAAAGAAACCATGGAACAACTACTCAACAACGACGAACACATACAACAATCAAAAATGCAGCATTCAAGTTGGATGGAATGCATAAACTTGTGTCTCACAACTTATTTCCAATTCAACGGCCAAATGTATGAACAAATTCAAGGGACACCTATGGGATCACCCATATCAGGATTGATTGCGGAAGCCGTCATGCAAAGACTGGAAAACATAATTCTGCCAAAGATCAAACCAAAAATTTGGATACGCTACATAGATGATACATTCGTGATAATCAAAAGAGAAAACTTAGACAATACCCACAACATAATAAACAACACCTTCAACGACATCAAATTCACAAGAGAAGAAGAATATGAAAACAAAATCCCATTCTTAGACGTCTTAATCAAACGAACAACTACAGGAAAATTAGAAACCCAAGTATACAGAAAACCAACGCACACGGATCAAATACTCAATTACAACAGTAACAACCCAACATCACACAAAATTAGCTGCATACGTACATTGTTCAAGAGAGCCAGGACTCATTGCAGCACCCCCGCCTTGAGGAAAATTGAAGAAAATCATCTTATGGACGTCTTCCAAAGAAATGGATACCCACGAAACTTCATCAAAAGACATCTACCCCCAGCTCAACCAACCAAATCAAAGGCCACCAGCGAAAACACAAAGAAAGTCGTCCTACCATATATAAAAGATATCTCCGAAATCACTGCAAGACTATTCAAACCTTTTGGAATCGATGTCGCTCATAAACCAACAAAGTCACTACACTCAGTTCTATGTAAACCAAAGGACTCAACGGCAAAAGAAGACAAAACTAACGTCATCTACAAGATAAGTTGCAACGACTGCGACAAACATTACATTGGTCAAAGTGGACGCCCTCTTCGTCTTCGCATTCACGAACACAAACTAGCTGTCAAAAGACACGACATACACTCCCTCATATCACTACATGCAGACAACCACGGGCACCAATTCGACTGGGACAATGTTCAAATCTTAGACAAAGGGAACTGCAAAAATGCCAGAGAATTCCTAGAGGCCTGGTATTCAAATGAATCAGCAATCAATAGACACATAGAGATTGACAAAATATACCAGTCCATACGAAGAAATTCACACAAAAACAAAGTCAAACTTCAGGTCAAGGAAACAGCCAACACCAAAACAAGTAAACTAGAAAGTGAGAAGTCACACAAAAACAACCAACCATGTTCAAGGTTGGCAGAAGAAATGACTAACGACATTCAGACCAAAGAAGCAACCAGCACCGAGACAAGCAAACTAGGGGATGAAATGTCACACGAAAAGAACCAATCACGTTCAAGGTTACTAGAAGAGATGACTTATAAACTCATAGAGAATTCTAAAAGCTCACTTCACATCGAAGTATGCGCTGAAGATGTTGCTCAGTAGAGCAATGAAAGCTTCGCAACCAAACCATCCAGCTCAGAGAACGCAACCACACCAAAATCATCCACCTGAGCTACAAATCTTCTCTATTATATCTAAATCATACGAGCGGAACACGCTTCTTTCTGTTCGAAAGTGGGAAGACTTCGCCAAACGGCAAGGATCCACCAGAGAACAACTATTTTTTCTCCATGAGTGCCTTCGTCATCAAATTCTACCAACCAGCGTGAGATATAAGCCACCAATCAACTGCCCAATGGGATGGAAATAAGCTGAACAATGTGGGAGAAAAATGGTTAAACTAATGATTACAGATGCACATTATAGAATCAAGAAATATCAACAAATAATGGACTTTGAAAAAGAGAAACTAGAGAAAATCCTCAGCCAAGAACACCTTTCAACAATGATCACCGCAATCGCACTGACAAGTAGTAGACACAGAGAACGTAGACGAAAAGTTCTCAGAACCAAGCTAACCAAAATCAAAAAACAACAGCCGAACAATACACCAATTGATTGCGTAGTCAATTTATCAAAACAGCCACTGTCAAAAATGGAACAACAATTACTTCAAAAAGGATTAAACTACAACACTGAAGACGCCTCGAAAACAGACTTCTTCGCTGCTCTTGAATCAACACTCAAATCATCAAAATTAAGTGAAGAAACACAAGAAGAGATACGTCAAACAATAGTACCTATAGTTAAACAAAGAAAACGACACACACAACTCAACTCACAAGAACAAAAAGCCCTCAAAAGACTGAAAAACAGGAAAGATATCGTTATAGTACCAGCTGACAAAGGAAGGACTACAGTAATCATGGACAAAGAAGAATACACTGCAAAAGCGGAAGAACTACTCAAAGATCAAACAATATACCAACAACTAACAACAAACCCCATCGAAACACTAAACAACCGCATCCAAAGAACCCTAAGCAAACTCACCAAAACGGGTCAGATCACAAAAGAAGATCAATGGCGAATGAAATCCAGTGGACCCGTCATACCTCGATTCTACGGCAGACCAAAAATACACAAGCCAAATATACCTCTACGACCAATCGTATCACTCCCAGGAACCCCAACATACAATTTATCCAAAGAACTATACAGAAGACTGAAACACTTGACGAAATCATGTGATCACTCCATCCAATCTGCGACCCAATTTTTAGAGAAAATCAAAGGCATTGAAATAGACAGCCAAGAAATAATGGTATCCTTCGACGTCACGGCATTATATACTTCGATTGGACTAAAACTAGCAAAAGAAACCATGGAACAACTACTCAACAACGACGAACACATACAACAATCAAAAATGCAGCATTCAAGTTGGATGGAATGCATAAACTTGTGTCTCACAACTTATTTCCAATTCAACGGCCAAATGTATGAACAAATTCAAGGGACACCTATGGGATCACCCATATCAGGATTGATTGCGGAAGCCGTCATGCAAAGACTGGAAAACATAATTCTGCCAAAGATCAAACCGAAAATTTGGATACGCTACATAGATGATACATTCGTGATAATCAAAAGAGAAAACTTAGACAATACCCACAACATAATAAACAACACCTTCAACGACATCAAATTCACAAGAGAAGAAGAATATGAAAACAAAATCCCATTCTTAGACGTCTTAATCAAACGAACAACTACAGGAAAATTAGAAACCCAAGTATACAGAAAACCAACGCACACGGATCAAATACTCAATTACAACAGTAACAACCCAACATCACACAAAATTAGCTGCATACGTACATTGTTCAAGAGAGCCAGGACTCATTGCAGCACCCCCGCCTTGAGGAAAATTGAAGAAAATCATCTTATGGACGTCTTCCAAAGAAATGGATACCCACGAAACTTCATCAAAAGACATCTACCCCCAGCTCAACCAACCAAATCAAAGGCCACCAGCGAAAACACAAAGAAAGTCGTCCTACCATATATAAAAGATATCTCCGAAATCACTGCAAGACTATTCAAACCTTTTGGAATCGATGTCGCTCATAAACCAACAAAGTCACTACACTCAGTTCTATGTAAACCAAAGGACTCAACGGCAAAAGAAGACAAAACTAACGTCATCTACAAGATAAGTTGCAACGACTGCGACAAACATTACATTGGTCAAAGTGGACGCCCTCTTCGTCTTCGCATTCACGAACACAAACTAGCTGTCAAAAGACACGACATACACTCCCTCATATCACTACATGCAGACAACCACGGGCACCAATTCGACTGGGACAATGTTCAAATCTTAGACAAAGGGAACTGCAAAAATGCCAGAGAATTCCTAGAGGCCTGGTATTCAAATGAATCAGCAATCAATAGACACATAGAGATTGACAAAATATACCAGTCCATACGAAGAAATTCACACAAAAACAAAGTCAAACTTCAGGTCAAGGAAACAGCCAACACCAAAACAAGTAAACTAGAAAGTGAGAAGTCACACAAAAACAACCAACCATGTTCAAGGTTGGCAGAAGAAATGACTAACGACATTCAGACCAAAGAAGCAACCAGCACCGAGACAAGCAAACTAGGGGATGAAATGTCACACGAAAAGAACCAATCACGTTCAAGGTTACTAGAAGAGATGACTTATAAACTCATAGAGAATTCTAAAAGCTCACTTCACATCGAAGTATGCGCTGAAGATGTTGCTCAGTAGAGCAATGAAAGCTTCGCAACCAAACCATCCAGCTCAGAGAACGCAACCACACCAAAATCATCCACCTGAGCTACAAATCTTCTCTATTATATGTTCTATCACTTCACTCCCTATCACTAAGCTAGGAGTTGACGAAGTCCAGTCCTGTAGCAGCATCTTACATTTTACAGGGGCGAATCGCATGCCAAACATACGAAGATTGCTGCTCAAGGTGTTCAGAAGACTCTGCATTTTGTCAGCGTCCTCCCCTAACAGGACTATGTCGTCTGCGTATTCTAAGTCTATAAGACTATTCCCTGGTAACAAGTCGATTCCTAAGTCGTTAAGTTCAGTTAAGGATACTTCCATTAGCATATCTATGATGAAGTTAAACAGAAAAGGGGAGAGTGGACATCCTTGACGGACACCACTGGACCACAAGCGTGACTGGTAAGCATTCTACCATTGAGCCATATACGCCCCCACCCACACTACAATAGTGTAAGTAGTTCTAAAATGTGTACACACATACAAGCAGTTGCTTTTGTTTTGTAGCTTTAACACAGATCATCGGGAATAAGAGGTCCACTTTATTTCACTGACTAAGTGTTACAGGGAAGTCAAGGGACAACTTATACAGGTAATTGCATAACGTTGTCGACCGTTGACACCAAATTGATAGACAAATCTCAAGATATCAGCCCAGAAAAAGACTAGATAATAGAAGAAAAGCAGTTAATTACCACCTTTTTTTGTACATACACTACACAGCTTACCCGTTGTAAAGCACTACGCACTGAATCGGCATTATTAGATCTTTTGAATAAGTCGAATTTACTCCCGCTTGCATCTATATTATCAGCAGAAAAATGAGGATGTTGTTGATGATGATGATATCCCATATGTCGTTTATAACTTTCTAATTTCAAAGCTAACTCGATTGTATTTAACCATGTCTGACGTTTTTCTACGGCATCATTCATTGTCGGATCGAAATAAATGAATATTTCATCATTTAGTAAACCATTGGATGTTGATATTTCATCTTTTGCTTTGTTACTAGACAGTTGAGCAGATGACGGTGAGGAGGAGGAGGATGCAGACGGTAATAACCTTTCTAAACGTATCCAATAATCGCCAATTGAACGTACTGAATCAATTGTATCTGCACAAAAGAATAATAAAAAGTGTTTAGAAAGAAATGTAACATAAATGTGTACCTAGTCTTACGATATTTATTCTATCTGTTAATATACTGTGAGGATAATAAAGCTTCAGAAATGCCTGGGAATTTCGTCCTAGTTTTTGGGGGGGTTCGAACCCAGGACCTCATGGTTCCAAGGCAAGCTTGTAGGCCATCTCAGTCACTGAGGCCCAATTCTCAACAGCCTATAAATTCCAACTTCGATTAATTCGTGATTTCAAGGCGACTGGCACCAGCCAATGTCATCGCTGGAGAGTATTTATCCTCATCCCCAACATGTTGGTAGAGCCCACTCGTCACTTCTTACTTGAACATCAGGTAACTTTGTCCTGTAGCCAGCCAATCACTAGCGAGCATCAGACTAATTTTGAAGAGTTAGTTTGTGGGGATTTGAAGTTCCCCAGAGTTCTAGTGAGAAGTTGTGGCTAGAGGAATTCACACTAAGTGACGTAAGACAACAGTTACTTACTGATAACATTGTAAACCAGAGAGAGTACTGGACAGCTCTTTCGTCCTAGTTTGAGACTCCTCATTAGTACGCACTCACTGGGGTTCGAGCCCAAAACCTTCTGATCAAAACATATATATATATATATCCCGAATCGTCAGGAGTCGGAATTCACGGGCTGACCATTGGATAGCGTCTGAATGGTCTACGAGCTCTCCTCTTGACCAGAAAGCCCTGGGTTTGAATCCTGACGGTAGCTGCATACTATGAAGAGTCCCTGGCTAGGACGAAACAGTCAACTGTCAAGTACTTTATTGCTGGTTTCCCAATAGCTCGTGATCAATCCTGAAACCAATCAATCAAACCCCTGCAAACCAACAACTGACAATTGATCAAAAGGAATAATAATCATAGTAATAATAATGAGAAATGATAGAACAATGATCAAACTCACCTAGATAAATAACATTATGATCTTCATGAGAGGAATATATATTTGAGGCACGCCAATCATAAGGTGCTATAACATGTAGACCAACTGATATATTTTGTGTCCTGCTAGTAGTCCTCGATAAGTGCCTCTGTCTATCACTTTCAGATAATTCCTCAATTTGTATTTGTCTTAAACAATAACACTTCATTTCGTGTTTTTCAAATATTGACTTTGTATTATTATTATTGTTATTATTATTGGTGATATTATTATTAGTAGTATTAGCAGTGGCAGTGTATTTATCACCACTCCCAGAAGAAAGTAATCCTTCAAGAACACGTAAATAATTCTGATATTTTTCACGATTACATATAACTAGTTGACATTCTAAATAGATGGACTGCTAATTAAGAAAGAAAGAAAGAAAGAACGAATACAATAAATATATGTATCAATGAACATTATATTATTATTATTGTATCCTTTAATTCCTACAGGAACATAGGGCTTCAGCCGTGAGTCTCCATTGCGTTCTGTTCTCTGCTAGAGTTTTCACCTGGCTCCGTGTCTGCCCACACGTTTTCATCTCTTCTTCACATGACCTCCTCCAAGTCACCCTTGCACTGACGACCAACTCGCCGCTTCCCTTTCGCGTTTCACTCGAGCAATGGCTTGTCTAGTGATGTCACTTGATGGATTGTTTCCTCAGAGTATGGCCAGCCAATCCATCTCCATTTCTTCCTGCCTATTTGTTTCACAATCGGTTCCTGCTGGGTTGGTTCGCTCATTTCCAGAGATCTCTGTTGTTGATCTTTTCTGGCCATCCGATCTTGAGAAGCAATGAGCGAAGACAACTGTTAATGAAGGTCTGTAGTTTGTTTGAAATGCTCTTTATGACACGCAGTGCAAGTCTGATCCGTATAGTGAGTAGCACTGACTGACTTCACATTGGAGTTGAAAATCCGGATCTTATTTTTGATGCTGAGTGTTGTTGACCTCCACACAGACTTGAGAGTAGTGAAAGCTTGTCTTGCTTTTCCGATTCTTGCTTTGATATCCTCGTCAGTTCCGCCTGTAGTTGAAACGACGCTTCCAAGGTAGGTAGGTGAAGGAGGTTGTTTCTTTTAGGTTCCTCCCGTTTATGCTGATTGTTGTCAGTTGTTGTTGCTGCTGTTGGTGGTGTTGCCCAGGAATTTTCATCACCTCTGTTTTATCTATGTTCACCTGAACATAATGTACTACAAAACATGTTTAATAAGAATGCATTTTAGACAGACAAATGTTACATCCTATCAGAGACTCATTAGATGAACATACACATTATTATTTTTCGCCTCTCTGTTTATTCATTATTAGCAAGCTATTAATAACATTAACCAAGAATGAGCCTTCTCGTATATATTTATTATCATTATGCTATTTTTAATTAATTCAAATCTACATCGACTAAGATGGCTAGGCCATGTTTTACGTATGAATACCTAGTCATCACCTTCCTCGACGAAGAGCAATGTTAGCTGACATAGGGTCAGGTTGGAAAAGAGCCAATTAGTGGTGGTCAAACCAAAACATGGCTTCATCAGTCAATGAAATCCACAACAGTTAGTTTAAGCCAACCAGCCATGTAGGAAGGTGTAGACTGGCTTCCTGACTGGTTGGGGTCCTCGGGACGGTAAAAATCAATGAAGGCTGGAAACAATCGGTGATATGGCTCAAAATCGTTCTCACTGGCGCAGATGCATCCGCTCTTTGTGACTTCTAATTTCCGATGAAACTATGTTGTTCTTCGGTACTGTCTATAGAGTGTGGCGACTCGAACTGCTGCACATCGGCGCAAAGTTCTATGTTGAAAACAGACAGACAGACAGAATTCAGATCTAAACTTAGTACGGTATGAGTACTAAGTAATATGGTAGACAGAATTGAACTCATAGATTTTCATTGAATTCTCATCTTATATTCTGTGTGAAGGCTAAAATAGTAACGTGGATGTCAAGATCAAAACAAATGATCACCTTATAAGACTACTGCATTAGGCTTTGACTTGAATTCTAATTAGCAAGGCAACCGAGCGATTATCATGAGCTACATTCTGAGGATTGCCAGTGATCAGAACAAGTTCACGCACAAAAATTTTACTCTAATCCTGAGAATTAAATGCACCATTGGTTTGGATTTTCTGACTCTTTTATATGAGCTCTCTGTGCTGATTAACTCGGTGATAGGCACTAAACATTCGAATTGTCGCTTGCACGTTTATAGGGACACTCCGCATAATGTAAAGATAGTGAATAAGGTTTCTATCTGATAGAGGCTATAAACACAGAATGAGAACTAAACAGTCACCATAAGCTCGTATTCTCAATATCTAATTGGTTTGAATAAAACTCTGTTTAGGCATATTTATGTTTTCGAGTTTACAGAAACTTGATCAATTTTAGGAATTATTTCATAAAGAACCGAAAACAGATGGAAGAACCATTTCCAGTCGAGTGGAAGAGGACAATTATTTTTCTCCTGTTGATAAGTACTCATCCAGTAAATAAACAATCTCCTCCATCCATCCATCCATCCTTATATACCTTCAAGTTTTACTTTTATTATTTCTATTGCATTTATGGTCCTGTTGATTCTTTGTTTTTTACTTTCATAACTGCAAACACCAAATTATCTCTATGACTGCTGTAATCTTTGTTTTTTCCCTCACCATATCACGTAAAGAGAACATTATATATTCAATATTTTTAATCATTCAAGGATTTGTATACCGCATTGACAATACTGTGTGATACAAGCGCACGGCAATTTCCACTTGTATTATTATCATTACCTTAGCTGCTATCATTATTATTATTTCCATTTTATATGCTGCATGTTTTTTTATTTTTTTTATATTAACCCTGTTGTAAATGTAAAACAATTTCTGTGTGATTAATTTTGTTTAAAATTTGAGGAAATTAGATTCAATATTGTGATTAATGCTGAAAACTCCATTCTGTATTGCAGTTACTGTTTTTGGAATAAAGTAAATCATTATTATTATTATTATTATTATTATTATTAAAAAGAATGTGCACGCAGAGCCCTCTAAGAAATCAAACTCAAAGTCACCAGATAACAAGGCGAACAAATTACCGTTCAGTTACCAGGTTTAAATCTGATGAACCAGAATCTATAACGTCTCGTTTTGAAACAGTACCATCAGTAAGTAAATGTCTCTACCCCAAATTGATGTAATCCGATCCTTATTGTTAGTTATGACATAAATATGATTTAAACTACACACCTGCCGTGAATTCCTATCAATTTCTAAAACCACGTTCTGTGTCTCTCAGACTTACACAGGAGACGTAGCTTATACCTCAATCAAGAAGATAACTGCAAATGTAAATTCATGATTGGTGCAGAAATATTTAAATCCGAGTAAAAGGGCATTCTAACCAACAGTTGTAAAGACCATCCTTGAGAAAACATTTTCACAGTTATCACATTATCCAACCGATGTCAACTTTCCTACACAAAAAGACGCTTTCTCATGCACCGAACATATTACTAATCAAGTTTTAATATTATGACCAGTTAGGACGTTCGCCGACCATGTACATCGCCTGGGGTTCGACTCCCGGCCACAGACGCACTCCTTTACCTCACTAAGCCAAAAATAAAGCTGGTAAAGAGGAAATGTTGGGCATAAGGCTAGCAACCCCATTCTGTAAAAATAAACACTGCTACAGAAACTTCAAGCCTCTAGCTTGAAGCCCTATGTTCCACTAGAAACGTGAAGGAATAAAAAAAAATGATACCAAATGTTTAGGCGAGAAAAAAAAGAGCCAACACTTACTGATGATTTTCCACTTTCAGACAGTCGGCCATCACAACTCATACTTGATATGTTTTCACTGTTACGATTGTTGTTATCCACAAGTGCTTCGTCATCAGACTGTGTTTGATCCTTTGTTTTGCTGCCTCGTCTGGATAATACACTATCACAGCTGACTTTTTCATATTTCACTTGATCTTTAGATTGATAACTGCCTGTAAATCGGTTCACTAGTCCAGTGGCGGAAACTTCACCAATGGTTTGATTGCTTTTTACAAAACCACCACCCGTAGTAGTTGACCGGCGACTACGGACTTGTAATTCCTTAGATGCTCGTGATTTTGATCCAGCTGAATTTGGCAAATGAACAGAGTCTGCGATATGATTAGGACTATCTTTATTGGCAGCAATTGACTGATCAATTGAAAACCAGTATTGAGACAAAGTTCCACCTAACTCATTGATATCACTATAAAAAATAGAAATGGTAAACTAGAACTTAATAAAATTGACCACTAAAACTATTGAAAGCATTGGACCATCATACTGGTACAGATAAATGAAACCTTTTCACCATGGAACTTAGAGCTAGCACACACACACACACCGTGAAAAAGTCTCTGGCCATCAACTAAAAGGAATTTAATTGTAATACTAAATAACCTTAGCATGCACGACCAGTCAAACATACTACAATGAGTAGCTTTCAATATATGTAAGTAAGCTACGTGACATCATACTATTTCGAAATGATAATTGAAATAACAGTTGAAGAGTAATATCGTCAACCAAGATTTTAAACACCGTAGTTTATTTCTCAACAGTTCGATTTAAAGTTGATTACAGTTCATGACTTACTCAAGTACTTTCTGTGCAAAAATCAATAGCATTTCATGCTTACATGAGAATCTAGTATGCGAATCACACAAAATACAGTTGTCGCAAAGATGATATGAAATTCCAGAGAACAGTATTTAATGTTTCCTGATGATCAATTAATCCATAACGATAATCTTAACACTGACGTTAGGTGATAAGCCATCACATGCATACATAAGATAGTTTTCTATTAAATAGGACAAATTCCTTTTCACAAAGCAGATTATTATGAAACTAACATTTTAAAACAGGAAAATATTTGGACTTCATCTCAGAAAAGAATGAAATATTTATTTTAGTTCAAAGCGGAAATTCGGTAGGAGGAAGTAATCAAATGTAAATCATATCATGCAACCAGTGGTGTCCGCCAGGGATGCCCACTGTCCTCATAAATGCACAGATAGACTCAACCCTAACTGACTTCAGCAGCTCAGGGACTGACATCTTACCAGGGAATCGTCTTGTTGACTTAGAATACGCATATGATATAGGTCTCCTAGCTGAAAATGCTGACAAATTGCAGTTTTCTGAACATTTTGAGCAAAAGTCTTTGGATGTGGTTTGCTTCTGTCCAATGTAAGATGATGCTACGGGATTGGACTACATCGACTACCAGTTGACTTAAAGACAGGAAGGAGTGAAGTGGTAGAGTGTTAACTACTTCATTTATTTGGGAAGTTTCATCAGCACCAACGGGATGACCGCTGACGAAATCTAAGCATGGATAGAAAAGACTCATATGGCATTTTCCAACATGCATAGACGTGATATCTGCTCGGTTATCGATCAAAGGACGTATATACTGCTCACCAGTTCGCTCCGTCCTCTTTTCTGGCTGTCAGTGAGATATACCTATTGAAAGTGAAAGACATGAAAAGGCCAGCCAACTGTCTTTGACCATAAGTGCCTCCATCCCATCTCCCGTGTTAGATGCAATAAGGTGAGCAATATTAAGGTTAGGCTTCTGTCAAGTGCTAGGTTAGGAGGGAAAATCAATCGACGAGGTTGTGAAGCAGCTGCATCGACTGAGATGGCTAGGACATATGTTACGTCTGCCTATCCATCGCCTTCCTCGACACGCAATATTAGCTGACTGACATAGGATGGATCAAGTTGGAAAAGAGTTAGCTAGTGGTGGTCAAACCAAAACATGGAATCAGTTAATGAAATCCATAATAGTTAGTTTAAGCCAGCCAGTCACGTAGGGAAATGAAGACTGGCTGCAGACAATTGGTGATATGGATCAAAATCCTCATTCTAGATGATGGCGAAGATGCATTCATCACTCTTTGAGTGATTTGTCATAGCAAAAAAAACTCTATTGTTTCTCCAGGTTACTATTCTTTCTTTCTCACACTTTTGCTTTTGCATATATTTTTCTCTTGTATCTTCTTTTGTGTGCTACAAGCAGGAAATGTGGCAACTCAAACTGCTGCACTTCTGTGTAAAGTTCTATGTTGAAACCAGTCAGTCAGTCATAATGCCAATAGAAACACACAGCACACGTAGTCAGGCTAGTAAATAAAAGCAATCGGGTGGAATATGGCATGAGCCACATTGAATATGGACTAGTGAAATACATTTGGATCCTCAAACAACACATTCCTGCATTACCAAAATGAGGTTGATGAACCATCAAAATACTTTCCACCCAATCCATATCAGGGTCAAAAACTATCAGACCTGATAAATAAGTACAAAGTTTAGGGTGAATTGAACGTCCAACAGTTTAAAATTACAATAAATGGCTCACCACGTCGGAAAATTATGTAATACACAACTCCAGTAGTTCAACGATACAATAATGTCTCATTGAAAAAGCTGAATGTTTTCATCATGAAAGTTAAACTCGACAAAGGGAACCAATAAAATCACAGCTTTATTAACACACACGATTAGCAGTCTAACTATAAAACTATCATGTGGAAACAGGAAATCATTCAAATTAATAAACAGCATAGTTAATGACAAAGAAATATTACTTTATGAGTAAAATGTGAGACAAAGACTAACCTCAGAAACGGAAGCACATGAAAACTCCCACGATAAGCAGAAGAAACTTGCTGGACATAAATCCATTCCGTAGTTGCAAAAAAAGCGATTGCATGACGAGCCAATGGGTTCGAAACAAACACACTGTTTTTTAGTGCGACTTCAGGAACACCATTGTTAAGCATCTGATGTCTATGAGGAATGCGGATAATCTGAAATATAACGGGGTATTTTAATACTCAGAAGATAACATTATTGAATTTGAAAATAAATTATCCAACTAAAACCTCGTCAGATTTGCTAATGCATTCAAGGATAGTAAAAGCCCCAATACTTTAATATGTTTTCATTAACAGCAACAGCAAAGTACTTACAACTAGTTGTTTTTTCTATTGTTTTTATTTTGAGGAACTCTTCGGATATCTCCTAGACCTATATCAAACAGGTCCGATGATTTAAAAAACCTTTCCTCCCAAGCATGCAGTCCCCAAATTACACTAACTGCATATATTCCACAAAATATCTCTATACATGTGGTGGCATGTCGTTACGAAAATGAACAACAATAAGAGCAGCTTCAGAATGATAATCCTTCGAAAGGACTACAGATGATAAGTGATCTGCAACATTAGACTGAATGTGTCATGATATTCTATTTTCACTGATGATACATGCAAAACAAAAGAGTTTTTCGAAGGTACTTGGAACAATGATAAATTATTTCCCCATGACATTGTCTAACTTTAAAAAGGAAATTATATTGACGTAAAATTTCAGGAGTTTTGGCAATTACTCCTCGTGAAAGTAATCAGTATAACGACCTGGAAAAATAACATCCAAGCATTTTCTAGTATCTCTGTTATACTATTCAAAGTGTGGTTTCTCACAAGAGTAAAAGGTGGATATGTATACGGGGAAATGCAACGCTGGGCGAAGTTAAGGTATCATAGCCAAAGTCAAGGTCTTTTAAACGTTGGCCTTCAAGAAACGATTACACACAGGGAGTGCCACGAAATATCATCGGAAATCAAGTCATGCCAGCCTTTTTGGAATTGGAGGATCAATACAATATTCTACTCATTTGCAAGGCCCTTTTCTGCATATGTATGTTGTTATTTAGGGTTACGGCTTTTAAGATTAAGAGTCTACGGTTAAGGTTAGGATTAGGGTTAAATTTAAGATCATAAGTTAGAATTACAGTTAAAGTCTAGCGTAACTTGAGGAATAATGTCAGAAATATCAATGAACCGGAAATAATCATGACCTACAATCAACTGGATGAATGGGTAAACCGCAGATGGTACGATTTCCCCATAGATCATCTGTGTATTGACTGAGGGACATTCTTATAACACATAAGCTAAACCTAATCAGTGAAATATCAAGTTTGCAATACTTTTTAGTGTATTTTTCAACAATTACGCGGCTTTTTTGTATCCAAGTAATGATTGGTTGTTTAAGGTCACTAGGGTTTCGGCTATGATAGTTTTGTGGTGAGAGCTGTCTACTAGCCAAATTGGTGGACAGTAATTTACGTCAATATTTACGTTCCCAAGATTTGTCGTGAGAAAATGTGAACAAAGATTGACTTTGCATAGGCGGATGCAGTTAACATATAGAGGATTTGACATTCAAGAAACAGTCACAAATAGATGAAAGATTAACTTTACGTGAGAAACAACCAATCGGAAGACTGTGTTTGTTTGCTTAAATATCCATAGTAATGTACATGCAAATATATAAATATGCGTTGATTTCCTTAATAAATGATCTGTTGCCTGACTCTTGCCTTCTGTTGTTACAGTTTAACTTTGCCTAGCTCTGTATGCAAAGCGTACTTCAAAATTAACGCACATTTGTTCAGCATGCTAAACAGAACTATAAAAAAACAAGAATTTAAGCAGCTATATTTTTATTTTTATGTCTACTCATTTAGTCTTCTAGTGCCAATGAGAGGATTGAAAACTGACGTTGCTTTTAGTTAAAGGTGGAGAAACAAAGGATACAGCCGAAATGCAGTGAAACTACCACATATGTAGAGACAAAATGTCCAAAAGAGGGTTTAGTAGAACTAAGAGAAGAAGGTGATGACAGATCCTTAAACTCGTGGCGTAAGTAATTAAAGCATTTCACGATATAAGAGAATATATATGTTTTTGCATGTATACAAGTTACTTTGGTGCACACTAAATGTAACACCAGACGATTTCAAAATTACTATGGATATTAGAATGTGAAAAACATATTGTGCATATAACTGAAGTGGGATCAGGAAACATCAAAAGCAAACTCCGCACTTCCAAGAATTAACTGTGCTTCAAGACTAGGTTGAAACATAACAATGAAGATGAACTCAAACAACGACATGATTAATGTGTCGGTGAGAGAATATGTTATATATCCTACATATCACCTCATCATTTCGCGTCATAAAAAAGTGTAAATAACCTAAGTGGACCTTCACTTATGACACCTGATGGTGAAGGGAGATAGGTAAGTCTGAAAATGGAATACAGAGAAAAAGTCCTGGACTTACTTTCAGGTCATCCTGAGGAAACAGTATGGTTTCACGATACAGATCGTTGACTATAAGGGTTTTATTTTTCGTGATGTACTCCTCATAATCAATCGGCATAACGGTTGATGAACACCACTAACGAAAATCAAACAATTAGGATTTTTTCACGACAAAATACCTGATCCGGCAAGCCATTCTCCTCTAATGAATTATGTTCCCTTGACTTAAATGGCTGGGGGTTTGGAATAATATGCTGAGTGAATTTCCTTTTACCAGCACTCATATTTCCTGATCACATTCATTATTTGCTTAACAAGCCACCGAAACGTTGAAGTAACGAGACTAATTATAAGTCGCGGTGTAAGTGAAGACTATCAGTTTCAGTTTTTCGACTAGAAACATGAAATCAAATTTCGAGTTTATCATTCCATATATGATGTAGTCTGTTGTTTGACTCAACTTCTTTTGACTCAATGGAAACTTAATTACAACCAGGTGGTACTAAAATGGCCAGTGTCATGCGACTTATAACTGGCAATAGAATCCACTTAAAAATCAACCCTGTCTCAATGCACATATGCAACCCTCTCTACTGCATGTAATTTATTTCATCCGTCAGAAAAAAGGGGTTGTCTGACACATGTCGTAGAAAGCTACTGGAAAGGTAAACACTAGGCTACAATGGTTGAGTTAGTTGTAACTACTGAATGTTTGTTAAAGTCATGGGATACAAAAAGATATTCTGGAGCCAAATGCCACTTTAAGGCTGTCAAATGCCTGTTCTGGCCCAGAGTTCGTGTACAGTGTTTCGACGAACTTGTAAGTGACTTAATCACTATGTGATTTATAGTAGAGTGAGGCTTTCATAGATGGTACAGCGGTTAGGAATCTCGCCGACCGTGCACACGGTTATTTATTTATTTTTTTTATTTTTGATTACAGCTTGATGCCACACCGTATTTTCAGTACAAGTGTGGAATTTTCAGCATGGATATCGGTAGCCCAAATTCAGGCCGACCATAGATATCGAGTGTGCGCTGGCAGGGGATCGAACCCCAGATCATGTGCATGGTCGGCGAGAGTCCTAGCCACTGTGCCACCGACGGGGTTCGATCCCCTGCCGACGCACACCTGATATCAATGGTTGAACTGCAAAACTCGGGCTACTGATATCACATGCTGAAAATTCCATACCTGTACCTAAAATACAGTGTGGAATCAAACTATAATCAAACATTGAAAAAAGTTAGAAATTTTAAAATCTGAAAATATGACGTTTTGGGGATGAGACTTTTAGACTAAGATTTGGATTTATTGGCTGAAGATAGAAGGCCTGGAGCCTATATTAATCCTATACTATCAAAGTTCTGTGCTTGTGCAAACCCTTCTTGAATGAGTCAGTTGAGGTTACAGACACCAATTCTTCTGGGGTCGGTTCCAAGAATTTATGTTTCAGTGTGAGAACCAGTACTGAACAACAATACGATTTCTTTTTGGCTTTTGAACTGTCCCGCCATGTCCTCTAAGCTGTTTCGACCTGGTGGGAAAGAAAAATGAGATTATATCAGGTCCGTAGTCATTATGTAAAATTTTAAACATTGTGAATAAATCTCCTCTCTGCCTACAGTATGACAGGGAGAATAGACTTAAACCGTCTAGTCTTTAATAATAATAATGTGTTTATTCCTATCTATGTATGACAAGTTAGTCATGCAGAGAATTATACGTGTTGCCTTCCATCGAACCCTTCCTAGAATATGTGAGTCCCCTTTAAGACAAAGACTGGCTGTGTGGATACAGTTTTCTAGTCTTGACCTCACCAGAGATGTATATAAGGAGGTGAACATATCTCTGGTGATTCTAGTAAAGGCTCTGAGAATTGCCCATAAGGGTCTGAAACTACGTGCAGCCACCGCGCGACAGTGTTCTGTAGTTTTTAAATCGTGGCTAACTATGACACCTAAGTCCACGTGAGTTTGAACTGATGGAAATGTTATTCCCTATAGTTCGTAGGAGCTGATGCTTGCGTGTCCAATGCTCACGGCTGCACATTTCGCTGCGTTGATCGAGAGCATCTATTCTTTGGACCAATCTAACAGTTTTTTGAGGTCATTTCGCAACGTAAGCGTATCACTGTCACCCTCCAGCTCTCCAGATTTTTAAGTCATCTGCGTATAGGACCATAGGGGAGCCGGTGAGCAAAGATATCTCATTGATATACAAAATAAATGGGAGAGGTCCGAGTACCGTGCCTTGTGGCACTTCGCTACGCACTACTGTCCAAGAGGAGAGTTTTGAGTTGATCCTAACCCTCTGCCCCCTATCTATGAGGAATTCCCTGAGCCAGTTTAGTAATCTTTCTTCGATACCAGGACTTCCAACTTCATGAGTAGTCTCTTGTGAGGTACTTTATCAAAGGCTTTGCTGAAGTCTATGAAGACGACGTCAACGGGTCTTCCGTTGTCCCTTCATTTGACCCAGCTTTCCCTTGCAGTGTGGAGATCACACAAGCATGATAGATTTCCTCGGAAGCCATGCTGTGCTCTGGATAACAAACTGTTGTTTTCTAGATATGTCATGATACTTTTCCTGACGATTCTCTCCAGTGTTTTGATTAAAGTGCTTGTGGGACTTATAGATGTCTAGTTTGAAGGGCTTTGCCTTGATCCTTCTTTGTGGATAATGTTTACTGTGGTGTCTTTCCAGTCACGCGTTAGCACTACATTTGGGGAAGACAGCCTGAAGATCGTGGCTATATGAGCTGATAGCTCTTTGAGAAGCCTTGAACTAAGATTACCAGAACCCATTGATTTCCCTGGATCAAGTTTCATTAGGTACTTGAGCACGATGTCTTCGTCGACGTCAACGCAATGTATCCCGTGTTCCTCCGATGCAGATAGAGTTGATCCTACGGGGAGTGTCGACTCCTGTGTAAAGACTTGGGAGAAACTGTGGTGACCCGTTTTATTACGCATCATCGTACTTTCATTTTGTAATTGTACCTCGATTTGTTTATTACTCTAAATCTTGCATGTTAACAATTGATACATTTTGTACTCGCTCGACTTTTGAATTTTGATTACGGCGAGAATACGCATTCCTACACCTTCTCAAGTGTCTTCTGATTTACGTTGTGTGTGTCGAGTAAGCACAATGTTAGGACACAATTATAAACGAGAAGAAGTATTAGGATATACGTATACGCTAGTTTAATCAAAATATAGCAACACAACAAAGCAATCCGTATTTTTCCTGCATTTTCTTGATCTTCTTAGATTATGTAATTGTCAGTAGTCGGGTTTGGGATGTTTTATTCCTGAAGTTTATGTACGAGAAAATTTTCTCAGGTTGTGCCTTTTCATTTGTGTGGATATTTGACCATTTACAGTGACAAACGATCTGCAAACATTATTGGTTCCATATCTTACAATTCCCTCATGAATTATGCATTACTTTTCCCCACGACGCAACCTGGATTACAGTTGTGAAATAACCTTCATACCAATAAAAAAGTATTGATTTATAATACTTCAAGACTCATGCATTTCTTGAAAACACCCATTTATGAGAAAATATAAATTGTTATTATTATTGGTCTACATTGAGTACAATTCACTTGTGATGTTACGATGAAAATGCTGACAAAAGTAAACAAGTGTATCACTTATTTTAAATTATTACCAAATTTGCATATAAATCAAGAATAAGACTCGATGCCGTACACACCAAAGTTATATGGGGGAATTACTTCAAGCTTTATTTTTTTCCCAAGTATTTGTAATCCATCCAAAACATACTTGAGTTTTTTTGTTAATGCGAAGACACTATTTCTATATTTCTTTATGCGCTCCATTAAACATTCCAACGTGATAACCTAGGGTACTTCCAGATTGTTGTGCAGAATGAATTAGATAAAGCGATTGCTTGGTCGTCTTCATAGAATCTACAATTCAGTCTGAACAAATGTGGTTGGACGTGAAATCCTAGGACTCGTTAATCTATAGCTAAGACAACAACAATTTTGCAACTTTAATCCAGCGGAATGAGACTCATGATTTCCGTAATAACCGAGGGTGTGATATGCCTATAGGCACACATAACCTGAGAACGGGACACAAAACGAATAGTTAGAACACACTGAAGACTTGGTGGGACACCACCAGGTACCATATAGATTGGAATTTATTTCTGGACCCACATAGTAGTTATGTAAGGCCCCATCTACATAACGGACATAGATTGGTTCACGGTCCTTCTACGCACCAGCACAGAATGAGTCAACGAATGTGCGACTGCGATATACCCAGCACGAACAACCCTCAAGACAGTCTAAAAACAGAATATTTAAGCGCCTTAAATTACAACCTGAAAAGTTAAACACACTATCTAATACCGAGAAATGATCACAGATACCCATGTAATGACGCTAGTTACCTATATATGCAACAGGATTATTTTTGGCTGCAGCAAACATTTGCCCACCTGGCTGCACAACTTATTCGGGGGACAGTAGACACGCAGACATCGTCCCATCTCAGAATCCCTCCGAACATAGCATAGCCATTCAGGAGTTAGGGACAGCAAGAAGAATAACTACTAATTATCCTGCCAACAACCCTAGCTTTCCATACATTATGCTCCTAAATGCTCCATCCCTCCATAACAAAATAACCTGACCTCGCGGCCTGGTATTCATGGAACGGTCAACATTAATCCTGGTAACTGAAACCTGGCTAACTAGTGATATGCTTGTCACAAAGCTGGTAATTCTTAACTACGATATTCGCAGGAATGAGAGAGTGGACAAAAGAGTAGGCGAGTGTTTGATATATGCCTCCAAATCCACTGACTCCAACACTTTTACAAACCCAACTATCGACAAGCTCCCAAAATCTAAGTGGATAGGCCTCCACACAAACCAAAATAAAATTCTCGTGGGATGTATATATAGAGCCCCTCACATACCTAAAATAACTGATACGGCTATTGGAGAAATACTAGAGCATGTATCTACTCCAGTTTTTGACTGAAAAGAAGTTTTTGACGATTTCAACCTCCCCGGAGTGAACTGGGACACCTGTACTGGACCTAGAATACATCGTGAGCTCCTAGAAGCTATAGATGCAGGAGGATGGAAGCAGTACGTACGCCTCCCAACACGACATAACAATATTCTCGACTTAGTCCTCTGCCACAAAATAGAGCCGATCTCGATAGAGGTGGGGGATAAACTCGACAACAGTGATCACAACATGCTGTACTGCACCTTACCTCCTAAACTAACAACCAAACACACACCTAAAATTTCCCCGGTTCACTATCAATATAGGGACTATAGAAATGCCGACTGGGAATTCCTACCAGCGCTCCTGAGAAGCTCTGACTGGGGTGAATACTTTGCCAATGATAATTTAGAAGTAACACTTAATACCTTCTACAAGACAATCGGTTGTTGACAGACACAACCGGGCTCCTAAAACCTTCTCTAAATATATATTATATTATTATTCTAAAAAAAACGTAGCGGTACGTCCAACGTTTGCGTTACATTTTTGCGTGATTCGTTACATAAAATTTATCTTGTTGTAATCCTTGCACAAGTCCTCTACTACTTCCATACCTATAACTATTAACTTTCATATCAAATAGTTATGGTTAACCAAAGTAAAAAGCAGCGAACTCAATCCCCTGTAAAACTGATGACTAATTTTAAGTCGTTGATTGCTACATCAAGCAACATACTTCCTACAAATGGTTATAGTGAGCCACAAAACTCACTTGTATGTCGTAAGCGTCGAGCTGAAACTGAGGATAAAACTATACTGACAGCTAGTATTAGCACTACTCCCAAAAATTCAGTACCCTCTGCTCATACAGAAACCCTCCCTACACCTTATGTTCTTATCGAAAAGCTCCAGCCTTCAAGCTCTGTTTCAGTACTATCTTCAGAAATAGAACTTCTAAAGTTGTCTATAGGAGAACTTAAGGCCGAGTTAAGGGACTTAAAAAACAATAAGTCAGTAGATCCTGGAATTTCCGATACCAATACCAAAATCTCCAATTTATCAGGTCAGATCAGTGATATCAGACTGCAGGTCTGTGAACTGACACCTTTAACTATTCTCATGAAAACTGTAGACCTTAACAAACTTGACAGTGAATCGATATCTAAGGTGGATAACCTAATTAACTTTGTTACTACAGAAGTAACAAAACGACTAGATGCTAAATTAAATGCTATTGTCTACAACGTTCCGGATAATGAGGCACTAAAAAAGGTACAGCGCATCCTTCTTAGTGAGGCGAAAATGCCCAACTCCAAGACTAAGTGCTACAGGCTGAAGAAGAGTCAACATGACAAGTGTTGTCCTATTCGTTTTCAGTTCGAAACACCGGCTGAGGCCAGAAAATTTACCCACTCCCAACACACCCTATCGCAACTCAGAAATTACAAACTAATAAAGGTTGCGGTGGACAAGACCGTCATAGAAAGGCGCGTATATAATTATCACACTGAGTCTAATTGTGGAATAAACAATAGGACATTGCAAGCAGCAATTATACCCAACCCTTTGGGAGACACCGTAGAATCCACCGCACCACCCCTCTCTAACCACACAGAATTATCTTCTCAGAGAGCGACACCAACCGAAAGGCCGCTAAATTGTAACCAAATAGCCAATAAAACTATACCACCTACCACCGTAGATTTAGACATGTCACTAAATAATCCAAGAAAAAATGTCAAAATCCCCCGAAAGTTGACCCTTTCCTCTCCTAGCCATAAGTCCATTGGTAAAAAAGAGAAGAATATGACCCCAAATTATGCCAACAGCAACAATGGCAGTATAAGTAAGCCCACATTCCCCACGGTCAATAGTATTGGCACCCACAACGTGCGAAATAGCACCATGGCCCACACTGATAACCAACGCCAAAACAATGCCACCCTCAAGAGTACAAGTGACAATAGTCAGAACTCGACCACCAACAACTCAGGGCATTCACAGTATGGCACGCTAATAAATTTTGATCGGATATACGGTACAAGTCTGCTGGGAACTAACCCACAAAGCAGTACATTCGAAACCCTTACAAGGACACCACTAGTACCTAACAATAGGTGGAATAATAGACCATGGTCTTCACAAGGTCCCAATCATTTTTTATCCCCTGCGTCCCTGTCAGCGTTGAAAAAACAGCTGGTAGGGATGCTAACACTCCTAAACCGCTAGTGCTGGCTCCCCCTTTGCATGAATGTAGGAACAGTCTAGTTAAGTTCGCCCGCATCCACTAAGCACACTTGGTACATGCACAAGTTTAGGTCAAATTAAGATTCCTACCCCCGTTTCTAGCTTAACTAAAAATAAAAATGCCTTAGCCTATAGCACATCCAGTACTCCAACGCTCAATTCTTCACCGAAAACAGCACACACCAACTCGATAGACATAGGTGAACATGATGCTGAAACTCCTCTCAACATAGGGTCGTCATGTCAAACAGTACTACTGGGTGCTGAACCACATTCGGGGCTGATTAACGAACTTAAGTACTTCAAATGTTATTTCAAATCTCATCTTTACCTAATCCTCATAAATGCTAGATCCGTTCTAAATAAACTACCGATGCTCAGAGCACTCACAGTAATATACAAACCCCCTATAATTGTCATCACTGAATCCTGGTGTAACTCGAACATACTGGATGAAGAGATAAGCTTAGATAACTATACACACTTTCGGTGTGACAGGGAAGGTGGTAAGGGAGGGGGTTGTCTTATGTACTTTCTGAATGCACTTACTGTATCACAGCTAGAAAGTAGTACACTTAACATGCCTGAGACTTTATGGGTTAACTTACACTTAAATAACACAATAGTATTAATTGGATGCACCTACAGAGCACCTGGCACCTTTAGTAATTACGAGACCCAACTTATTAATACTCTAGAACAATTATCCACCCTCCACTACGATCATAAGATCCTATGTGGAGACTTTAACTTACCAGAAATCAACTGGGAAATACCCACAGGTCCAACTAAACTTGATAAGTTCTTAGGCACACTGGATATACTTGGCTGGAAGCAGACTGTCACAACCCCAACAAGAGGTAATAACGTACTAGACTTAATCTTCTGCCACAATATAAGTCCCCTTTCTACCCTAGTCGGTCCTGAGTTTTCAGGGAGTGACCACAAAACAGTGCTGTGTGCACTGCCACTTCCGTCAAGTAGCAATGCAACCCATACCCCTACTTCACAACAAATAACTTACAGGAACTACAGTAAGGCAGACTGGACTCTAGTAAAATCAATGCTAAGATCCTCAGAATGGAGTGAGTACTTCTATACTGATAGCCTCTCGAAAGCTCTAGACATCTTTTACTATAACTCCAACACATGCTTAGATGCTGTCATCCCATTTCAAACACTAAAGTTTTCCCCACATAGAAAGACATTCATAAAGCCAAAGGATCGTAGGAAACTGAAAAGACTGTCAACAAGTTACTTCAGGCGACACGACTTTAGTACACTAGGGTCAATACTTAGTACTCTTAGCTCCATCTCGCAAGCTCATAACTTGCGTATGAGAAATGAAGAATGCACCGCACTAGCCAGCACCACCAGAGTAGGTGCTCTCACAGAAATACTAAAGAAACGAATGAATCGCCAAAGCCATAAAATTTCTCTCCTTATAAACAAGGGCAAACTATACAGCAAACATGCAGACATGTGTGAACTGTTTAATGAGACGTTTGCAGCTAACTACCTTAAGCCTACAAGTCCACTTCTCGGTTTACAATCTACAATAGAACTCCCTTCATCTTCAACGCTGAAACAAATCACTACAGTTCATTTCACTTACTCTAATATTAACCAAGCCGTTAATGCTCTTAAAAGCTCTAGTAGTGCCGGTTTTGACGGTATACCATCGTATCTTTATAAACACGGTGGTTCTGACATTTCCGTTTTATTACTTAAGATTTTTACAATGTCCCTAGAAAGCCAAACCTATCCAGATAAATGGAAAACGACATTTATAGTACCTAAACACAAATCCGGATCAAAAACTGAAGTCAACAACTATAGACCAATCAATATTACACCCATAGTATCTAGAATCATTGAACGAATAGTTAAAGATGATATCCTCAAACATATGCTCAGCTGCAATATTCTAAGTCCAAACCAACATGGATTCTTAAAATCCAGATCATGCATGACATGTCACCTAGACTTCTTTAACTACATAACTAGCAGCCGTGACAAACAACAACTAGTACTTGTCATCTACTTCGACATATCCAAAGCCTTTGACCGCGTTGACCATTTGCTTCTAATAAATAAGCTAAACTCCTTAGGAATAAGTAACCCATTATTAGGATGGATTGAATCATTCCTTAACAATAGGTCCCAAGTAGTTAAACTGGGTTCTGTAAACTCTAAACCTAGTCCAGTCACTTCTGGAGTAGTTCAAGGTAGCGTCTTAGGCCCCCTCCTATTCACTCTATATGTCAACGACATATGCAGCTGTTTCTCACTTGGTACACCATTCATCTTTGCAGATGATCTTAAAGTAGCTTACACATTCCACTGTGATGACTTAGGGTACTTTCAGAAAGCTGTTCAGGAAGAACTAGATCGAGTAACTGCATGGTCCTCCACATGGAACCTAAAATTCAACCTCAAAAAATGTGGTTGGATATGCTTCGGTGCACCCTCAATAAATATTAAACTAGTACTTGAATCTATCGACTTGCCTAAACTCCAAAGTGTTGTTGACCTAGGACTCAGGTACTCTAGTGACTTGACATTTTCTGAGCAAGTGGCGACACAGACGCGTAAATCGAGGATGCTCTTAGGATGCATACTCAGGAATTTCCACAATTACGAGGCGAAACTATTATTGTATAAAACTTGTGTCAGACCACTACTTGAATATTGTCCATTTATTCTCAGCAGCACTCGCGTAAGTGACAAACTTAAAATAGAAAGTGTCCAACGATACTTCACGTCTAAACTACTAGGATTTGACTGCGAAAAGGACTACACATCAAGGTGTATAACTCTAGGTATCGACCAACTCTGGATGAGACGACTGAGCATTAACCTAACATTTTTCTTTAAAATATTGCATAAAATATCATTCTCAGACAGTAAGGAGATACACTTCTCACCGGAAGGCTCCTACAACCTTCGTAACCAAACGTGCACAGTATCTAGGAAAAACTGCAAGACATCACTCCGTGCAAACTTCTTCACAGTCATGTGCTCTAAGATCTGGAAGAGTTTACCCCTAGAAATAAGGACCTGTCACTCTATCATAACCTTCAAACGCTTGCTATATGAACTGCTTCATCCTAATGACTATGCCAATCACACCGCACCACTTATTTCTAAAACGCATGAGCTATTAGAACACTATAACGCCTAGGCTCATTACTAAATATTATGACACTAAATAAACTCTAAGACCTCGCAAAAATACATGAAAGAACAACTAGATTATAGGTAGTGTTTACTATACAATGATATACATTTATAAACATTTATATATACATAAAATATTAATGAAGGGCAGGTTGGTTGCCATTGTCTCCAGCTGCCGATGCGTCCATTCGGTACCACTGTAAATGAAAACAGAAGGTTTTGAATTTAAAATTCACGAATAGACAACAGAGTACAGTAAGCAACTTGAAAGTGACATTGACTTGGAAACTATAGAGGAAAAAAGTGTCAATTCCTTACCACAATTACCGTTTTGAAAAGTTCCAGATTATAGGCACAAACATTTACTGAAACACTCGTGAACGACAAATATGGACACAAGTGATAAAACGAAGCTCTGCAGAAATCATTGAGACGCCACAAACATGAGTTAACACCAAGGATTTTAGGTGCACCCTATAATTTTTACATGAAACACATTCCCAAGCATCCTCCTGCACGAAAACTGCCTTCACGCTTAGAGACAGCTTTTGACGACTATTATTAACAAAATCAACACAGTTCAAGCCAAATAAAACCGAGAATCACGTCAAATGCAGCCAACTAGATCAAACGAGACAAATCAGCCAAACTGAAATCAAACAGACCGCGCAAATGTCCTCAAGGTAAAGGTGGAGGCGCCACTTCAAACAGGGGATATGACATATCAACGCCCGTCGCTGTAAGGTAACATCAGAAGTGAGTTTTACTCCGTGCAGACGAATACCAGGCATAGCTAGGCTGATTTGTTTTAATGCACAAAAGTCAGGCATACCGCCATATAATAATGTATTCATTCCTGTTTATGCAAGAACATACCAGTTGTACAGGCATGGATAAGTTATTATATAAATTACATATATTTTGTTGTATGGTGAATTTACAGCTTCGTCGTTCTTTCTGACATTAGAGTCAGTCGGAACAGTCTGCAAAATAGTCTGTCTGTGTAACACATACAGAGGTAAAGAAATATTGTCTTCGCATTAACAAAATACCCAGATATTAGATGAATGTTATACAAATATCTGGGAAAAATAAAGCTTGAATTCAATTCTCCTATATAACTTTGTTGTGAACAGCATCCCTGAGTTAAAGTTTATTGATGTATTATTTTGAGGTCAGTGATGTATTTATTCCATCTTTTATAGCAGTCATATCGTAGGTTTATAACGGGAAGGAAATTTGTTCGTGGATACGAAAACTAGATAAGGTCATGTTGGATTGTTTTACGGCATCAAATGGGGCCAACGTCGATCCCAGAACTCTCCATTGGCGCCATTTGTGTCCGCATGAGAGACTGTACATGTAAGTTGAGTAATACATTGAAAACTGCCTGAAAACCAGTTGCTTTTTCATTTCAGATCGTGAATACTCCTTGCATGGGATTGTTCACGGGATTTGAGTGGTTATGAGTTAAATGGTCTGGAGTCCAGATTCATTTCAGTTTAAATGTCGGTTTCTTCGAACTCGACCAGGAGGTATATAGAAGAGTAGGCTCAGCAGCAGAATACCAGAAAGAGAAAGTATGTGAGCATCAAAAGAACATTAATGTTTTATGCATATATAAATGTTTATAAATATATATAACTGTATAGGAAACATTTCCTATATTCTAGTTGTGTTTTCATGTATTTTTGCGAAGTCTTAGAGTTTATTTAGTGTCATAATATTTAGTAATGAGTCTAAGCGTTAAGGTGTTCTAATAACTGATGCGTTCCAGAAATAAGGGGTGCGGTCTGATTGGCATAGTCATTAGGATGAAGCAGTTTATATAGCAAGCGTTCGAAGCTTATAATAGAGTGACAGGTCCTTATTTCTAGGGGTAAACTCTTCCAGATCTTAGAATACATGACTATAAAGAAATTTGGACGGAGGTGTGTTTTACAGCTTTTCCTAGATACTGTGCACGTTTGGTTACGAAGGTTGTAGGAGCCTTCCGGTGAGAAGTGTATCTCCTTACTGTCTGAGAATGATATTTTATGCAATATTTTAAAGAAAAATGTTAGGTTAATGCTCAGTCGTCTCATCCAGAGTTGGTCGATACCTAGAGTTATACACCTTGATGTGTAGTCCTTTTCGCAGTCAAATCCTAGTAGTTTAGACGTGAAGTATCGTTGGACACTTTCTATTTTAAGTTTGTCACTTACGCGAGTGCTGCTGAGAATAAATGGACAATATTCAAGTTGTGGTCTAACACATGTTTTATATAATACAAGTTTCTCCTCGTAATTGTGGAAATTTTTGAGTATGTATCCTAAGACCAAACTCGATTTGCGCGTCTGCGTTGCCACTTGCTCAGAAAATGTCAAGTCACTAGAGTACCTGAGTCCTAGGTCAACAACACTTTGGAGTTTAGGTAAGTCAATAGATTCAAGTACCAGTTTGATATTTTTTGAGGGTGCACTGAAACAGTGCGGCGGTGGCGCAGTGGTTAGGACTCTCGCCGACCATTCACATGGTCCGGGGTTCGATCCCCTGCCGACGCACGCCCGATATCTATGGTCGGCCTGCGAAATTCGGGCTACATCTATCGATGCTGAAAATGCCATACGTGTACTGAAAATACGG